GCACCCGCACCCACACCTACACCCACATCCACAACCACACCCACCCCGCACCCACACCCACACCTACACCCATACCCACACCTACACCCACATCCACACCCACACCCACACCCACACCCACTCACACCCACACCCTCCTCTCTAGAGATCGATCATTCAATTTAAAGGTGTGTTCATATGGAGATGACAAATTGATATTCACAAGATTTCGAATAAAAAGAATAATATCTAATAAAACTTTATTATTTTTATTTACTTCTATAAAAAGACAATAGAACATGAAATATGTTAGTGCATTATTTATTGATTTATTCTTCAAGGAATAATCATCAGAATGTCATTGAGACACTTGAAATACTTCATTGATGTTAAATGATTTATTGTTTGATGAAAAGAGTGGCCCCATATTTTACTGGTTATTGAAAGTGGCCGAGTCTGACGTGGTTGAAGAGGCTCAGCCTTCAACAGAAATTTTTCAGCTTCTATCTTCACCCAAGAAATCTTCGAGCTGTCTCTAGAAATGAGACGATTCCATATAATAGACGAAACAAATACCAGTTTTTCAGCTTCAAACCGAGGCTGAACTTCGTCTACGAATATTTTCTGGCTTTCTCACTAGTTATTTCTATTAACCACATCTACACCCTCATCCGATCAATGTTACAACAGTGAAGAATGAATTATATTGAGTGAGTCCACACTGGGTATTCAGTGTAAGATACTTTCTATTCGTGTGGATTAGGTGAAATATCATGCTTACAGTTAGCATCGGCACCAAATGAACTCTTGCAGTGTTTGTGAGAACATCTCACATCTGCATGTTCAATTGTGACAAAAAAAAATTCTTCGTGTAGATTCATATGACTGTGGATTCACTAATAATTTAGATATGAGTGTATAAGACGAGAACTCATTGGGATTTATTTCATGAAATACTTGATTGGCAACGATAACTTGAAAGTTAAATGTCAATATAAAGTTTGATTTTCGAATTTCAACTTCAAGATTTGAAGAAAGCAGAAAGATTTGAATCTTGTCATATGAACAGGAACATAGAAATTGAATTTAAATAGTTGAATATTCAAAGTAAAATTTTAGTTTTCAATTGAATCAAATTTTCAAGTTTTACACATATGTTTCTTGAAGTCATTCATTTTATGCGTTAGGTGCGCTCGATTGTACCAAGTCCACTAGTAGTTTCCATATGACAAATTAGGAATATTCTTATTTGAGCTACGATTCATTTTAATGATGGATCAAGTTGATCTTTTTCGTTTGGGATCTCTTTTACCTTTTGATAAATTACATTTGTTATGTTTGCTTTCCATCTAGCCAGTGAACCATATCCGCGTAAAGAGGAGAGGAATATTTAGACTATTAAAACGTAACAGTGAATGTATGATGAAGATATTTGAGAGTCGATGTCATGCAGCATACATCGACTACATGCAGTATAAGATGATCGGTCGTGAAGAGATAACACTGACGACTATCGCCATCGCTGCTGCACTTTTATTACACCCACATTCAAAATCAATCATCAATAGATCGATTTATACCAGCATTTCTGAACGAAAGAGCATTCTACTCAGAAATTGTAATCTTTAAATCTGCATTTTAATCAAACTTTCTAAGAAAACTTCGATTGAATCGATAAATGAGAAAGCGATGAACGATGAGTTCGATTGAGAATACCTTGTAAGTTTGTCCGTTTCCGGTGTCGATCACTAGTAGCGAGTTAAATAGACACATTTGGTGCAAGTGACGAATTACTCTCTGAGACTTAAGTTGTAGTACACTGCATTTGTGGACATATAACAGAATATATTCTGATTCTGATGTTTTTTCAAAATCGTATAGAATCCTTTACAATCTCACGATTCTCGTATGCGAGAAAAAAATCTAGACCATGGTAGGTTTTTTTTATTTTCATATTTATCGTACAGTTACTCTTCTTTTTTTTTCTATCTCATTTTATTTCAAGATTGATTCATTTTTTTCTTTTGAATAGAATCAAACAAATTTTCTTGTTTGTTGCTTATTTCATTGCAGTCCTAATCACTCTTTTCCGTACATAATATTCGCATAAATCTAAATCATGGTGGCTATTCAAACACATCTCATTTCATACCTATCTCACTAACTATTTGAGTATTCTATTTTCGTGAATTAACATGGAACAGATATGAAGTCAAAACTATCTCATGGAACCTTTTGAACAAGATGGGAATGCATTGCATTTTGTTTCACTTCTGAACGCTCACTCATAGTTTATATGAATATATAAATCGAGAGATAAATAATAAAAAGCTTACAAGAAATATTGATAGCACTAAGTAAAAGTTAGAAACAGCAAATAGAAGAAAAAAAACGTAACTTAGCAGTTGCAATATTAACAAGTCTGTAAGAAAATTTTTAAATTGTCAGTACCTTTGTTAGCGATTGCGAAATCTAGCTTTCCATCATTGTTAAAATCATCAACAGAAATCGAGAATGGACGAGATCCATAATCGGTCGAAAAAACCTTTACGTCAACGAAGGAACCATTCCCATATCCAAGCAGCACACCTACATTGTTGGTGCCATAATTAGCGACGATAACGTCTAGTAAAGTGTCGTTGTTAAAATCACCAACAGCCACCATGCTAGGTAAAGATGCGAAGCCCGTCGTAAACATCTTTTGGCTTGAGAAAGAACCATTACCGTATCCAAGAAATAGTCCAACGGTGTCATTGCCATAATTAGCAACGACGATATCCAATATGGTATCATTGTTGAAATCACCAATAGCAATAGACATTGGAGTAGAGCCAGTTGAAAACACCGTCTGATTTGCGAAAGATCCATTGCCATATCCCAAAAAACTGCCCATGGTGTTAGTGCCCGAATTTACGACGGCTATATCCAGTTGATTATCACTGTTAAAATAGCCAGTGGCAAATGACATTGGTCGAGACCCATTGCCAGTTATGAGCGTCGTTTGTTTTACAAAAGCTTGCTTGACATATCCTAGCAGTACACTTACACTTACACCGTAGTAATTAGGAGAGACAATATCCAGTCGACCATCGTTATTCACATCAACAAGAGCTAAATGGAATGGCGTAGTGCCAATTGGATATGTCATTTGATTTGCAAAAAAGCCATTGCCATATCCTAGAAGCACACTTACAGTGTTGTCACGAAAATTATTGGTAACAATATCCAGTCGAGTATCATTATTTAAATCACCAATTGTTACTATAAGTGGCCGATTACCGGTTGCATATGTCATCTGACTTTCAAACGAGCCATTACCATATCCGAGAAGTACACTTACAGTGTTGTCATCACGATTCGTGACGACGATATCCAGTTGGTTGTCGTTGTTAACATCACCGACAGCTACAGATGTTGGTGCAGCGCCAGTGGAGTATTTGACTTGTCTTGCAAAAGAGCCATTACCATATCCTAGAAATAAACTTATACACTTGTCATCAAAATTAGCGACGACGATATCCAGTCGGCTGTCGTTATTAAAATCACCAACAACTACAGAGAATGACCGAGAACCAGTTGAATAATTTGCTTGACTTGCAAAAGAGCCATTGCCATGTCCTAGGAATAGACTTACAGAATTGCTGCTATCCAAATTAGCGATGACGATATCTGGTCGACTGTCGTTATTAAAATCACCAATCGCTACACAATATGGATAATAGCCAGCTGAAAATGTTTTTTGTGTTGCAAACGAGCCATTGCCATATCCAAGAAGTATACTTACAGTGTTGTCATTATGATTAGTGACGACGATATCTGATCGGGCATCGTTGTTAAAATCACCAACAGCTACAGAGTAAGGGCGATTTCCAACTAAATACGTTATTTGTTTTGCGAAAGAGCCATTACCATATCCAAGATATACCGCTACATTATTGTAATACGTAGTAGTGACAACGAAATCCAGGCGAGTATCGTTATTAAAATCACCAAAAGCTATACAGTTTGGCCAAGGGTCAGTTGAATATGTCGTTCGATGAGAAAAATCTCCTGTGTCATACATAACAAACATATCCAAATTATCAATGTCATCATATGCAACAACAATTTCCGAACGTCCATCACTATTGAAATCACCAGCAGCAACAGCCAATGGAGCAAAATCAAAACTAGTAGTATAATTTACTTGACTTTCAAACGTTCCGTTTTCCTTTCCCAGAAATGTACTAAGACTTTTAGTACCACGATTGACCACTGCAATATCCACTTGACCATCTTTATTGAAGTCATTAATTGCAATCGAGTAAGGATGAGATTTTAATCCCGTTGACAATATCATTTCATTTCCAAATATGCCATTTCCATATCCAAGACTGACACCTAGGTTATTAGTACCATAATTAGCAACGACGATATCCAATAGACTATCGTTATTGAAATCAGAAACGGCAACGCTTCTCAAATGGGCACCAGTACTGGACGTAAATGTAATTTCATTTTTCATAGCTCCTCTATCATAACGGAGCAGAATACTAACAGTAGCATCATAATTATTAGTGACGACGATATCTGGTCGGGTATCGTTGTTAAAATCACTAACAGCTAAAGTGAATGGATAAGCACCGGTTGAATATGTCTTTTGACTTGCAAAAGAACCATTACCATATCCGAGAAATACGCCTATGGTATTATTTCCAGCATTACATACAACAATATCTAGTCGGGTGTCGTTATTGAAATCCCCAGCAGCAAAACCGAGTGGTTTGTCGCCAGTTAAATATATCATTTGCATTGCAAAAGAGCCATCACCATGTCCGAGAAGTACACTTACAGTGTTGTCAAGAAAATTAGTGATGGCGATATCTAAACAGGTGTCATTGTTAAAATCAGCCACAACTACAAATCCTGGATAGGTGCCAGTTGAATATTCTACTCGATTTGCAAAAGAGCCATTACCATATCCTAGAAGCACATTTACAGTGTTGTTCTTATCAGAATTAGTGACAACAATGTCCAACAGGGTATCGTTATTAAAATCACCAGCAGCTACCTGGTATGGAGTAAAACCAGCTGAATATGCCATTCGATTTGCAAAAGAGCCATTGCCATAACCGAGAAGTACGCTTACAGTGCTGTCATAATAATTAGCGACGACGATATCCAATCGGGTGTCGTTATTAAAGTCACTAACAACTAAACTATACGGATAAGCACCGGTAGAATATGTCATTTGATTCTGAAAAGAGCCATTACCATATCCGAGAAATATACTTACATTGTGGCTCTTATGATTAGTGACAATGACATCCAGTCGAGTGTCGTTATTAAGATCACCAACAGCTACACAATATGGTTCAATGCCAGTGGAATATTTTACTTGTCTTGCAAAAGAGCCATTGCTATATCCGAGAAGTATACTTACAGTGTTCTCATTAACATTAGTGACCACGATATCCAATATGGTGTCGTTATCAAAATCAGCAACAGCTACAGAGGTTGGAATAGAGCCAGTTGGATATGTAGTTTGAATTGGAAAGACCTCGTCATATCCAAACAAGATATCTATGCTGCTCGTGTCATTATTTATGACGAAAATATCTAAACGATCGTCTCTGTTGAAATCACCTATGGCAACGTAGATCGAAGAAGAAGATTCAGTTGAATACATTTTTGGGCTTACAAAGGTGCCATTGCCATATCCGAGAAGCACAGCAATATTGTCAGTATCATTATTGGTGACGACTAAATCCATCCGATTATCTTTGTTGAAGTCACCAATGCCAATAGAATATGGAGAAGTAGCGTTGAGAGAATATGTCGTTTGGCTCATAAAAGTTCCATTGTCGTGACCCAGAAAAACACCTACACTGTTATTTCCATTGTTGGTGACCGCGATATCTAGCATGTTGTCGTCGTTTAAATGACCAACAGCAATCGAGTATGGATGAGAATTCGGACCAGTTGAAAACGTGATTTGATTCGCGATAGTACTATTACTAGTTCCAAGTAGTATACCAATATTGTTTGTGCCATAATTAGCGACAGCAAGATCCAGCTGTTGGTCATTGTTAAAATCACCACTGACAACCGCAAATGGGAAAGAGTCATAGCCCGTAGAGTATGTGCTTGGTTTTGAGAAGCTTCCATCTCCATATCCATAAAATATACTTACGCTGTGTGTACCATGGTTAGCGGTGACAATATCTAATGCTGTGTCATTATTGAGATCAGTTACGTGGATCCAAATGGGACGAGAGGAAGCAGCTGAAAAGGTTTTTTGGCTTGCAAAAGATCCATTTTCGGTTCCAAGAAGTATACCGACGTTGTTTGTGCCAAAGTTTGCGATTGCAATATCCAGTCGATCATCGTTGTTAAAATCGTTAACGGCGACCATGTATGGAGCAGAGCCGGAACCGGTCGGATATGTGACTGAGCTTGCTGCAGTCCTATTGCCATATCCAAAATATATAGCTATATGGTCAGCAGCATAATTAGCTATAGCAATATCTGGCCAAGTATCTTTGTTGAAGTCACCGATGGCAACAGATCGTGGACCAGACTTATAATCAACTGGATTTGGGGTCGCTGGTTTGAAGTTGAGTTGACATTTTGTGACTAGGTAACAGAAGAACAGCGAAATAAAGATGGATTAGTTACTCTGATTCAACAGTCGTTAGTGGATTGTATCAGATTCACATGATTCTGATCATATTCTTATCGATATTGTGGGATGATTACAGCCAAATCTGGATGGATACCAACGCTTTTTATTTGAACCTTGTCGACTCTTGCGAAATTCATTACTCAGATTATTCATCAAGCAGTTTCTGTCACTTACTGGAGAACTCGTCGGAGACCCGCACAATGACTGAGAAACAGCAGACATGGCAACTAATATGATTTACATAAGGATTACGGATTGGCTCTTACTGCCCGATCAAAACTACTATCATCTCTATCTTACAGACTCTTTGATGGCATGTTATCAGCCACAAGTATACTATAATGACAAAAATTTCGAATCATTTCGACATCAAAACAATGTCAGTAGCGCTGCATTGCAACAATCCTCTAATTACATTGTGAATACTTTTCATTGTTATCCTACAAGAGACATGTATGTGTTCGCTAGAAACTTTTATGATATTTTAATAACTATGAAACATGTATGAGAGCAAAATATTAGATCAAAATACCATCATTTGACTTATTAGTATACTGTGATCTATAGGGAAATATCAGTATAACAAGTATAATTCAGAAAGAAAACACTAATGAGTGAACTTCATTAACTAATTCATTCCGTTTGAGTTCATATTTTGCTCATTGATTGGAGTCATAAATTAGGAAAAATTTCACAAATAGCAAGTTTTTCTAAAAACGCGATTATTATGTTTTTATAGAAGTTTTCTTTTCTCATCTCAATAAAGAAACATGTTCAGGAGCTAATTTTTGACAAAGTCATCCTACTCCTTGTTACTTGTTGTATAACAACAGAAAAATGTTAGCTATATTTTAATTTAGTAAGAAGATAAAGATGATACAGAAAATGAAAGTGAAATAAAAGATTAAGGAAATTATGAATTTGTCTAATGGTCATGATAGTAAAAAAAATAGAGTGAAGCACAGATTTGTTGAACAAAGAACAATGCATCATCAGTCCGTCGATAGAGCTCTTTGTCATAACATTTATCTGTTTGAAATATGAAATCAACACCCATGATATTTTTAAATGGACCTGGATTATATTTCAAAAAATCTCTTTTGAACCAAGTGTATTTTGTCACTGGTTAAAAATCTGGGATATAGGTGTGGATTGCCTACTGGCCACTGTGCATGCTTCAGTAGAACGAAGAGAAACATTGACATCCACACCTGCATCTCACAACTGATTGAAGATAACGAATCACTGGAAAAGAGGATGTATACGCGTTCAGGCATGATAGTAGAACTAAACAAGATATAAGTAGATCAATATGTCTATATATATACAGTTGAGGAAAATTGACATGATATCCTTTGATTTTTTTGTTTTTTATTACTATACGTTTTTATCTATTAACCTACTATGTATAGCGAGAAAGCCCAGAACGCACTGCATATTTTAGTATATTTACGTTGAACATCATATGCAGTTTAAAATAAAAAAAGCGTATTAGGAAAAAAAAGAACATTTTTTTTATTACCAAAACCGGGTGTCCATAATGTTGTAACATTTTTTTATTTTGCATATATATCTCGGCTTAGGTAAATGATAAAACCTTGAATTTTACTTTCGAAAGATGTGCCGTGAAAAGCTCTACAAAAGGTATATGATCGAATTTCATTTTACCTATTCTAATGGCTTTCCTTATACTCAAAATGAACAACTTATGGGTGGCAGTGTCACTTCCCATCATATAGAAAATATTTCAAAAACTTTTCTGATTTTCTATAGGATTTGATCCATACAAGTTTTGTAGAGCTTTCGATGGCACATCTTTTAAAAATAAATTCAATATTCCATCATTTTCTCAAGTCGAGATATATGCAGAACAAAAAAGTCTTCCAACATTTTCAGTACGATGGGAAGTGGCACCGCCACCCATAAGTTGTTCATTTTGAGTATAAGAAAAATCATCAGAACAGGTAAAAAGGAATTCGATCATATAGCTTCTGTAGAGCTTTTCACGGCACATCTTTCGAAAAAAAATTCAAGGTTTTAGCATTTACCTAAGTCAAGATATATGCGAAATAAAAAATGTTACAACATTATGGACACCGTGGAATTTTAAAAAAGTCCTTTTTCTTCTAATACACTATTTAAACTTTTAACTGCATTTGATGTTCAATGTAAATATACCAAAAGATGCAGTGGGTTCTGGACTTTCTTCTTATATGTAGTAAGTTAATAGATGAAAATGTATAGTAATAAAAAACAAAAAGAATCAAAGGGTATAATGGGTATAATTGAAATTTTTCTCGATTGTATATACGACGGCCACATCTTACAGCCTCCTTCCTATAGATCTCTATTTATTATTATCTGTTTGTTCCCATCTTCGGGCAACGTACAGTTAGAAAATATAAACAAGATATGTCTCAGTGAGAAAATATGTTTATCTTCGCTACGTCCTATGAGAAAATCACTTATATTTTCTCTTATTGTTTCACATATCTATAATGCCAAAAGAACACATGGATGAGATAGAGAAAAAGAAATTCTGAATAAACTGCTGTTATCATTCCAAGATGTGAAAAAAATACTATCAAAAATAATAGAAGGGATGATTCAATGAATTTCTCTCCTTCATCTGTAGGACACTGAATATGATAAATTTGATCTTTCTGCAACAAGCGGCCATACGTAGGTTGAGTTGGTAATGAATCAACTTGTAAAAATGTCCGTTTATTGTGATAGGAAAAACAACTTTTTTAGAAAACATAATCATCTCTTTTTTTGAAAATTTTTTTATGGCTGGCCCTCTGAAACACAGCAACAATAGGGTTAATCCTTTAGGAGTTTTTCTCTACTCTATGAGCCCCACCTTCCTGAGTAAAATATGAGCTCGAATTGGAAATAACAGTTGATGAGGTTTCCTTGTAAGCAAATATACCTTTTTCGTCATTTTCTAGTCTTACTAGGTTCGACTTATGAACAAAGTATCAGATCTATTGATGATGATCATCTTGGTTGGTTCGCGCTCGTCAGTACTAATTTGAAATGAAAAAGTGAAGCAGTTGCAGTGCTTCTAATTCCGTCCTCGCTGGATGGTTTGCGTCAAGCATCTCGATATAAAATATTACCACTATTTGAGCTTTTTTAACCAAAACTCACAATACTGGGAAAACAGAATCAAATGAACTGTGAAATTTTATCGTATTTAATACGAAGAATGTAGAACAACAAGGACATACCTGATGGTTTTGCTGCAGTAAAACAAACTACCAGTATACCAATGGTCATAAATATACTTGTGAACACAGGTAATACAAAACCAGGTTTGGTTATGAAACCCAACATTGACCAGTAACAATATTTCCTAGAAAAGAGCAACAACGATGGTATTTAACATCAAAGGAAAAAGTTATACATATTCTGTTGAATCGTGTATTTTTTTATTCGAGCGATGGTATTGTTCTGAACGTCTCTTGCATTCTGCGCATTTGAAATTGATCTCGGCTCCTCATTTGCATCAACGAAAACACTGTCTTTACGAAGCGAGTATTTGACCAATTTAACGTTACCAT